TACTGGCAGTTTTAGTTTATTATTTAGAGTATCATTTCATTAAAGAAATAATTTCATATTTCCATAGCAATAATAATAAAATGAATAAAATAAATTATTAAAGGTATAGTTCACCCACCCATAAATGACAATTGTGTCATCATTTACTCACCCTCATGGTCCGAAAGAGTATATGTAATAAATTTTATCAAACAAAGTATTTCTTGCTGAAGCTACTTTCTGTAATGTCTGTTTGATGCTTTACACAACAATGACTTTAAATGATCTTTTGGGAGTAATTTCGCAAGTCAAATTTGATGTGCGATTAATTTGCGATTAATTAGATTACAAAATTTTAATCGCTTACCAGCCCTACTTAAAACCATTTTTTAGCTGGAGAAAATACTAGTGTTCTAATCATTTTGGCCACCACTGTATATATGTTTGTACTGTGGTTAACATTATTTATGATACATTAAATTCCATAAATTCATTATCAGATTTACTATAAGGCATTAAAAATAATTGTATAAAGCATTACACCAGTGTTACTTTACTCTCATTGAGATACTATTATAGCTTTTATTAGTATTTTAAATCAGTAGTTATTTTTATATTTTCAATTTATATTTATATTTTTAATTTTAGTTTTATTAATTTTGTTGTGTGTGTTTTTGTCATTTTTAGTAGTTTTTGTTTTTTATTATATGTCTATATATGTTTTTTTTTATAAATTATTTCAGTTTATATTAGTGAATATTAAGTTAAAGTAATATAAAGTAAAAAGTTATATTTTATTTTATTTTAATTCATCCAGTGTTTATTTTATTTCAAACAATGATATATTTTTTAAATAGTATGGTAATAACCCTGCATTACACATATAGGCTTCATTGAAAGTGTTACCGTATAAAGCGACAGCTGATGCACTTGCAGTATCATTTAAGACTTGGCAGGAAACACTTGAGTCATGGAATCATGACATCCTCCAGGGGATAAAACGTCCATAATAACATATAGTGATCCACTGATGTTAGAATAAAGACAAGTCCAAAATTGATGCCTGCAGTTCTCTACACAGTTAAAATGCAGCACTTTATTTCAATTAAAGCTACTGATGTTAGATCAAAGGTAATGCTAATAAAATGCTAACGGCATCTGTATTAGAAAAGCCATCTCAGTCCCTCTAAGCATCGATGAATACATTTCTAAAATGTTTGGCTGAGAGAGAGCTATAGGTACTGCTAATTTATGCGCTGCTCTGAGGAATAATGAGAAAGGAGGGTGGGTGAAGGAAGTGAGAGCTGAGCCAGCAGAAATTCCCAATGCTGCAGTAGCTCTACTGAATCCTGCACTTTCACAACACTAAGCTTATCAGAGAGAGTGGAGGGGAAGAGGCAGCCAGATCTAAGCCTTTTAAGACTCTTCATCAATATTAGAATATCTGGACTGGCAGGACCTTTACACCACTAGGTGCACGGTACAGACTGCACTTTTGAGGACATCAGAGAGAAGTCTAGGGTCTGCAGCTGATGTGGCCAAAGCTGTTGAGAGAAAACACACCTATAGGTGCCTGCAGTTCCTCTGCGCTGGAGGAATGCGACTAAAGTAGCCTAATACAAGGCCGTAACCTCCACGGTCATTCAAGGGATTAGTGGGTAACAATATAGGTTTTTCAGTGACCAGTTTTTGCCTACATAATTGTTTTTAAGTGAAAAACAAAGGTATACATGAAGATATGCATCAAAATACATTTTGTGAGATAACCCTTTACAACATATTTAAAATTGTTCCTACACTCCCATATACAGTATATGAATATATGATTGAGTAGAAACTGATTAAATAAATAAATACATCATATATTTGAGATATTTTAACTTTGATATAACAAATATGCTGAAAACTTTAACACATTAACCTGCTATATATCAATAAAATAAAATATCAAAAAAAACTTGATGCACTAAAATAACTAAACTAAGCCTGAAATAAAACATAAATGAAAAAACTATATAGACATGGATTTAAAAAAAAAAAAGAATTAAATCTGAATTAAAACTGATTCAAAATAGTAGTGTCGCACTTTACTAAAATAACACTGCTATATGAATTACATGGAATTTCATACATCTAAAATGAATATATATATATATATATATATATATATATACATATATATATAATAGAAAATAAATAGAAATCCACATTGTTATATTAAATATATAGATATTTTCTGTTGTAATTTATTCCAAATAATGATGGAGGAAAAAGAAGGGAAAACACTACAAAACCAACATGACCAAATTAATCCACCCTCCTACTATGTATATTCCATTATTCTGGATCATTAAAGGGAACAGAATGTAGAAATTGAGATAAAACTTCATTAGAAGATTACAGATTAAATGATGAATCATAAAAACAATTACCACACAGAGGTGATTAATAAAGTAACATCAAACACTAAGATACAAATAGTGCGTCTTCATTGTCAATCCAAACTTTCAGAGAAGCAAGAATTCTCTCTTGCAATATTGAGTTTGGGGCTTAAAAGCAAAATGATGTTGTCGATACAACAGGCAGGGTAAAAAAAAAAAAAAAGCTGCATTCAGCGCTCATTAATCTATAAACCTTCATCAACCCAGACTGCAGGTTCACATAGCCTTTCCTGACACCGCCTCAAAAGAGATCACACTCGCTGATGAGCAGGTACAGAATGAGGCGTTTGGTGTATGATAGTAATAGCACGTGCAGCGGCAGCCTCCCCCGGGTACTAATGCCCGTTCTGTAAGAAGTTTTAATTCCGTAGGGGGCGCTGTTGGCCTACTTCTAATAAAATGAAAGTAAAATACACAAATAACATTTAGACTGTGTTTCTGATTAAATAAAGCAGTAATTGATGTCATAAAATCATGAGTATGTTTTGATTTAAAGGTCAGAAGCTATAGCTTACATGAATAAAAAAAAATCACAAACATGCCACTTGTAAATTAAATAATTTTATATATACAGATTTATTCATTAATGTGTAATATGTTGTATTTTTTAAACAAATTATGAGCTCTAAAAGATTTTCAGAATTTTTACAACTCTTTTGCTTTCCATCTACAAATGTTAAATCTTAAAATAAAATGTTAAGGTTACTACTGCATCTTTCTGAAAAAAATGTATATATAGTTTATTTATAGTTATTTTCAAAGCTTCAATGTACTGTCATTATAAAAGAACTTCATTATTGTTTATTTAATTCTAACAAATAAGGTCTTGTTAAAAACTAACCAAAATTAAAAATAATTTGCTTATAATTTCCACACAGGATAGACTTGGTGCTGTTTCCAAACAAAAGGAAATATATCGGTATCGGCATCAGCTATCGGCTCAAATTAGTTGAAAAATAGCGGCATATCGGCAAAAATCCAATATCGTGCATCCCTAATACACATATAATACATTGCTCATTAATTCAGAAAATGTTTAGTTCTATCTATCTATCTATCTATAGTATTGTGCATACACACACAGCTCCTGTAAAGTTCAGTGAAATGTTAAAAAATAACAATAATGAAAAAGCACTATTATGTAAGTAATTGCATATTATATGTATTTATAATTTACAATTACAATGACACCTTCAAACACTAAACATATCCTAAATATTTTGTACTATAAAAGTGAAATCAAATTATAAGCAACAACAAATATATATATTTTTTAAATGGATAACAACAGACATTTATGCATATATATTTTTAAATTACTATTAAGCTCCAAAAAACATGCAAATATATTTAAGAATCTTTTAACTTAAATACCTCTAAACATCTGTGTCAATTTTAACTTAAACTGTACATTATATTAAGAAAAGTTAGAGTACTTATACATGCCTGATATGGCCAGTGTGAGTGCATTGTGTGTTACATGCATTGTTACATGCATTACAATTATGCCTGCTCTCCACTACTTTATACATATGGTAATGGGGAAATATTCATTTTTATTTTCACCTTTTGTTAGAGGAGGTTTCTTTAAAAAAGGAAGATGTAAGAGACCAATGCAGCATTGTCTCCAACATTTCACTCTCAATGGGACCACATTCATTCTAATATGCAGGGCAACCTTTGTCCTCTTTTTGGACAACTGGTTTTACACAGTCAGAATGAACCATACTCTGATGTTTAATTGAGGCTCTGATCCCCCAAACACTTAAAGGGGGCTTGGGAATTAGAGTCGCCCTCCCTGTGCCGGTTCCCCTCACTCCGCACAGCTCCAGATACTTTATTTTGACAGGCTGAGCAGAGAAATACCAGTACAGAATACATCAAGTTCTCAATTATTGGATTATCTCGAAGTGATATCATTACCACAGAACATTCTCTCCAATCATTGATTGCATTTTTCAATTTATTTCACGATTAATGCAAGTAGCCTGACCGAACAATTGTCTGATGAGTTCTGGAACCCCATCAATATATTCTCCTGGCCCTCGTGAGCAGTCTGTGTGCTTTATAGTTCGGGCAAAACATTTCTCATCCCTCCTGTCTCGTGTCTCTCAATTATTCTAAAGGACTACCAATTTCATCTAGCAGGTAGATAGACCATGTGAATGAGAATTACAATTTTGAATGCAAATACGCTGAACTGAATGCTATTTTATCACATGTCAGGGGAAGCTGCTTCGGGGAATGCTAATGTAGTCTGTCTTGTGGCCAGGCATCAGCTCTCTTTCACAAGTGCCTTAATCAAACAGTTACTCTGGAAATCATGTTAGTTCATTTTCTAGTAGCACAATATCACAATTAAAGAAACACAGGGGTGGATTTCATATCATTTCTATTTTGGTTCGAGGGAACGTTGCCATTTTTGCCATGTGGCAATTTAATAAACGAAATATTCCATGCTTCTTTCTTCAAACTGAAATATTTAAAGATGTTTCAGTATTGTTTTAATTAGCTAATTTACAGTATACAGTGGAATTTATTACAGTACATACAGTCCTATTGAATAAATTGGGGCCTGTAAATTTTTTTAAAAAAATTTTTTTATTCAGAAAGGAAACTGACCAATAAAGACATTTATAATTTTACAAAAGATTTCTATTTGAAATGCTGTTCTTTTGAACTTTTTATTCCTCAAAGAATCCTAAAAAAAATAGGCATAATGTATTAGTTTCCACAAAAATATTTTCAACATTGATAATAAGAGATGTTTTTTTTTTTTTGAGCATCAAATCAGCATATCTGAATGATTTCTGAAGGACTCTGAAGACTGGGATAATAGCTGCAGAAAAGTCTGCTTAGCCATTATGGGACTTGTGATAATATTTCACAATATTACACAGTTTTACTGTATTTTTGATCAAATAAATGCAGCCTTGGTGAGCATAAGAGACTTCTTTCAAAAAACATCGCCAACACTTAAAATCTGTGTGACGCTAAATCTTAACTGTGTATGATACAGTTTCTGATATTTAATTCTTGATTAGGATGGTTCTGCTTTGTCAGAATGGTATTATTTAGTAACAGTATATCCTCTTTGATGGCTACAGGTGCTAATTACAATGGTAAATCATTTATGCAGAGGCAGACAAATGGATGGCAGGGCACTGAGGAGCTGGAGGAAAGGTCTCAGTTACAAACGATGTGAGATAAATCATCTGCTCGACATTTTCACACACATCATGCAATTATGCACTCAACACGTGAAATCTGCTAAATCTAGTAAACTTATGTGGTACATCACAAAAAACAACATCCACAATGAACAAACGAGGAGACCCATGGAGTGGTCAGTGTCAGCATACCGCAGAGTCTTTTGCAACTCTGTATTGAATGTGATGCCTATAATGCAGTGAATAATTACTCTATATGGACTACTCTGGTGTTACCAGGCAAGCGGCGAGTTCAGGCACACACCCCTCCCATAACTCAGACGAGAACAGCTTTCCGGAGGAAAGAAAAACTGCTGCTATGGCACAGCTTGGAGACTTCAGGATTTATTTGCCATTTTCTCCATCAATTATCCCATTTCTGTTGCCGTCAAATATACATGGATTGTGCCAAACTTTTAAAATGATTGGGATGGCACAGCACCATCAAAGTCACTAAGAAACCATCCAAAATGCACTAAGCCTCAGAGCCAGGAGAGACCGGTGCAAAAGACCCTGCCAGAGCATCTGAGCTATTCACCACTTAAACCAGATAAAACAATAAAGATTTCAGGATGGGTGTAACTGACTTTTTTGTTACTGGTCAGTGGTACTTTTTAATTACAACACGCATTTAACTTTCCTTATAACTTTCTTCATATTCATTATGATCATAACATGTAATCATTGCTTTAATGTGCTCATTGTTTCTGCTTGAATGAATACATGACTAACTGCATGATTTGTGTTATCTTAGAACAGCTCATTTCTGCCATATGGACATTATGTTGATGTAACATATTGGTCTAAATTTAACACAGAAACATGCATTTAATGTTAAGCTGCTTTGAAATGTTATGTATTGTGAAAATTGCTATTTAAATAAATGTGAAATGAACTTGAATTAAATTGAACTTGACAACAATTATCTACATAATATACACAAACTGCTAGTACAAAGAAACGGTTAGTAAATTTCACTAATAATTAGGCTACAAAGAAACAGCAAGTAAAACATTGAATCGTTTTTTCCATTGTAGTCATTGGAAATATGCAAACTAAATTAGTATGTATATGAAACCATGTATGTATATGGTATGTGAAATCTGTCAAATTCAACTGTGTAGCAGGAAATTATTATCGAACAACAGTGGAATGTGGAAATCTAAGGAAACATCTTAAATGGATTATAGGAAACATCTCAAAACAATCTGAATGACTTAAATAGTCATTCGGCAAATTAACCTCTGATATCTCAAATGAAAGACTTTAATTTACATGTTAACTTATGTCAACTAATATCACACAATTCAATTCAATTTCAGATTTTTTTTTTCTTTGACACAGTCATCTTTGGTTTTGTCACTTACTCTAAAGCTGCTTTAAAACAGTTGTGAAAGGCTTTACAAATGAAAATAAAAAAGCTACAAATAAAAGTGACTTGAAGGACCCTCGCATTCAAAGCCTATGACTAACCTCCTGACTTTCGAAGACCCTTTCTAATGAAGTTATGCTGGAAAACAATCATTGGATGTGAGCGCACCATCTAAGAAATCCTAACCACTCTCTCACTTTCCAGCTCTAACTGCTTCCATTCATTTATGCATATAAGACAAAGAGGAACGTTTCTCGAGAAGAACCAGGAAGTAGAAATAATGATTAGTTGGGGTTTGGTCAATGCCGAGTGATTTAGATGTTTACAAAGGTGTCCACAGCAGCCACATATGCGATCACTTACCAACACAGACAGAAAGTGCCTTCCCGGAAGGAGTCATTTCATAGCACTCATTTATTCATTATGTCCATAGCAACCTCTTAAGTGCATCCAGAGCTTTTTAGGCCAAGCAATGAATTGCGCTGGTAGTCACATGGCATCAGCATCGTTCAGTAATTCTGCCGGGTTACTGTGAGCCGCGGTCAAACACGAGCGAGGCTACTGAGATTGGTGCCGCAGTTTCACTACCAGCCAATGAGCACAAGCCGTGACTTATGGAGCAATTTGCATGGCATTTGGAATGGATTAGAGGAAAGGAACATTAACATTTCGTGATGCATTTCCTGCCATGAATTCACCAGGTTTTTTTTTTTTTTTTAAACGCAGTAGCACTTGCTCACTCACTCACACTCATACACCCACACCGTGATGCGCAATAAGGTTGATGCAAGCCTTGGTTGTCAGGGAAGTGTTACATGGCTCAACCTCA